AGCAGATAGGATCTTGGGACTGCTTTTGGCTACTTCAGTTGGGTATGGATATTAACTTCGCAGAGAATATGAATGGCAAGCTCGCTCTTGCTCTCTGTGCACACACAGGCATGATTATACACATATCTGCACACACACACACCAACACACCTCCCAGACCTGAGCAAATTAAACTCTACCTCCAACTCCAGTCACAGTTTCAATCTAGTTGGTCTGAACCTTTAGGATAGGTTTGACTATACCAGTAGCAATTTCATATTTGCCCATTTCAATTCCTTTTCATATTTGGACATCTTCACTAAGGAGAGGGAGGTGCATCTCAGAGAAAACTACCTTCTTGGTCGCTACACCACAACCCTTGAGCAAAAAGAACAGAATACAGTGTAATTTTAACTCCCCCTTATGACATTGGCTGCAGAACTGAGCTGCTCTTGAAGAACACAGGCACATGCTTAGAATGGGCTGGCATTCACAAGACCTCTGCACTTTGCTGAGACCACACTGTTTGTGCAAATAAGAACCCTTCATTCAGCACCTTGGACAGTGCTTTTCCACCAGGACCCTGTGGGGAGCTTAGCCATACCAGTACAGGTAGTTCTCGCTTAATGACCATTTGTTTAGCGATTGTTCGAAGTTACAAAGGCACTGAAAGAAGGGACTTACAACCAGTCCTCACACTTATGACTGCCACAGCATCCCTGCAGTCACGCAATTGTAATTTCAGTGCTTGACAACCATCATACATTTATGACAGTCGCAGTATCCTACGATCACATGATTGCCATTTGCCACCTTTCCAGCCAGCTTCCGACAAGCAAAGTCAATGGGGAAGCCAGCAAGAGGTCACAAGTCATGGTCGCATGATGTCTTGCTTAATGATTGTGGGTGATTTGCTTAATGACCACAACAGGGACTGCCAGAATTGCTGTCGCTAAGTGGGGCAGTCATATGATGTTTTGCTTAACGACTGCGTCACTTAGCGATGGAGTTGCTGGTCCCAATTAGGGCTGTTAAGTGAGGACTACCTGTAACTGCTTTGGTCTTTAAGTCTGAATCAACACTTGGGGGTCAAAGAGTCTTCCAGCTACCCTGGGTTTTCACTTCACTGGTTTTATTGATTTTCTTCCATTTTTCAGATTTATATCTGGCCTCTTTCACTTCCATAATGCTCTTCTTGCAGGCTGACCAGCCACACAGGTTGTGAAATGCCCAGTTCCTATATGGGTATAAGCATCACTTTCTTAGAAAGAAATTGCTGAACTGGACCAAACAACCCCCTGGTGTGGTATCTGGTCTCCCGTAACTGCAGCCAGATGTTCATGAACAGGACACTAAGCTTTCAGCCAAGCTCTCCTCCATTTCTAGTATCTCACCCCTGCATACAAAGTGCTATATAAAAAATGAGTGATGCTGCCCTGAGGATTGCTCTGGGTTTCTAACCCACTGGAAAGCGTCCTGTTCCACTGTTCTAAGATCCACCCAGCGATCTGCGATTTTAAAAAAAAATAGCAATTAACCTCTTGCAAATAGGTTCAGAGACAAGCGCCTTTTGCCAAACTGCATCCAGATGAAACAAGAAGGTTTGGTCGGCATATTCCCACCTATGGACCCTCACCCCCACCCCACACACACTGCCCCAAGCTTCTCAGCCATTCTCGGATCTTCTTCGTACCCCCAGAGATGCTAGAAAATAAATAGGTCTTCCCGGAATTAGATCTGCTCTGTCATAACAGTATATATGGATCAGTGTGCCAAGAGACGTCACTCCTCTGGAGAAAGAAAGAAAAAACCCTCCACATTAAAAGACCATCTAGCATCTGGTTTATATCACCCCCAAGTCCTTGTCTCAACTGGAAATTGTGTTATTTCAACATTTCTGAGCTCCAAGGCATGCTGAGGCTTTGAGAGCTGCCAGGAAAAGCTGCAGATAAACACAACAAAGCCTGATGTTACTTATGGCGGGGGGGGGGGGGGGGGGGGGGG